ATCAATACCTCGCTCAAACAACATATGACATTTTATACATCATTATCGTGATGTACTAATTTTGATAATGTCAGTTTATTTGCATTATCCCAAATTAAGTAGGTGATATGAGATGTATCAATGATTAAATTAGTACTGACATCTAGGCTCATGGGCTCCGTGAAAAGAAAATGTTCATAACATGTTTTTAAAAGTTGTTTATGTTAAAATTTAATGACCGTTGAACTATTTCACGTATAACACCCAAAAGCATTCATGCAAATGTGTTGTAAGGGGACTACAAAATGTGTTGGCTGCTTGTTTATTCATTACTTTCAAAATCACCTATTTTTCACTATGACATTTTTGAACAGTGATGGTTTCATAACACTACTGATATCTTGTTGCAAAATTAATATGATTTGACACCTCTTATGAATATATTAATGTTTGCACCCATTACATTTGATTATTTCTATAATAGTAAACAGTCCTAATTAAGGAACACGAATACAATTGAAGATAAACAGATTTTTCTAAACATTTCAAGCGGAGGGGGGGGGGTCCGGTCGTCACCTGAGCACGCGTGTGATTTGAGTCCCAAGCGACGATAACAACACACGCTAAAAACGCAAAGGTTCTTGGGTAGACGCATGTTTGTAAACAATGACATGCTATGACCATCTGACGCAAGCGCAGGTAGCGACTCCCCCACTTTCATAATAATGTTTTAATGTGTCTGACTTTATATTATTTTACCATGAATATTACTATAATAATCACGAGTAAAAGAAGACACACTGTCCAATAATCTGTGACAACAGGGAAAGGACAAAGATTTGCACAATAATGGGCGACACGCAGTAAACTAGTTGTAATGAACACACACCGTGTTACATGCTCTTGGTGTCTGTTGTTAATGTCTTTCCTAGTCGGGCGTTCAACTAACGAATATATTTGGTGTCCACATGATCACTGCGTGATCAGGATATGGCAATAATGTTGCTACACTCGTTCGATCACAAATTGCTTCCATGCTATATTCAATTAAAACACAATGTGCGCTATGTCATCATGGACACCAAATATTACATACTACCCAGAGCTGAATAATCTCTCTTATTTTCACGAGAACATATCGTTATATGAATCGCGAATGGCACGTTCAGCTATAACGTCATAAAGGGGGATATATGACCTACTTTATAATCACGTCTACCTCGAACGGCGCGATCATGTGAAAACATTTACATTTCTTACAATACGGTTGTCTTGAAAATTACTTGTTCATGAATCTCGATTTATTTTTTCGAATTATTCAGTGTAGCACGTCACTTAGCTTAACGTTGGAATGACACAAGCCTGTCAATCACCTTGCTCAAACAACATGTGACATTTTATACACTATTATGATATTTTTTTTGATAACGATAATTTATTTGCATCATCCTAAACAGCTGTTAATTGATATGAGATGTATCAATGATTAAGTTAAAACTGACGTCTAGGCTCATGGGCTCTGTCAAAAGATTATGTTTTTAAAAGTTGTTCATGTTTACATCAAAAGGGTGTTTATGCATAGTATTCAATGCATCCGTGTAAAATATTAATGTTTTGAATGTGTCTCACGTTATATTATTTTAGCATGAATATCACTGTCCAATAGTCTGTGACAACAGGGAATGGAGGGGATTTGAGACTCAGTCAACTAGTTGTGATGAACATCGCCAAGCAGTAATTGAATCTACGCTCTAGGTAAATTAAGCCTGTTGTTTGTTTTTTCAGTCGGGCTTCAAACCAACAATGTTTGTTGATGTCCACATGATCACTGCGTGATCAGGCTGTGGCAATATGGTTGCTGCAGTCGTTCGATCACAGGTTATAATAGATTGGAATCACAATGTCAGCTATTACGTTACGAAGGTCAATGATAACATATTTCCCAGGGTTGTACGATTACTCTTATTCTCTCGAATGGCACGTTCAATGTGAAAAGTTTATCACATTTACCGTAAAAAAGTAATAACAATATTTATGAATCTCGATTTATATTTGAAAACTTCAGCTTCACGTGGACTCCCACAAGCACATCAATAATCTCACTCAAACAACATGTGGAGTTATATACATCATTATTATGATGACATTGTTTTGATAACGCTCGTGTCATCCCATGCAACTGTTAAGGGGGAATGAGGTGTGTTTTTGATTGGTCTAACTTCATGGGTCTCTGTCAAAATAAAATGTTCGTTATAGGTTTTAAACATCTCCGCGTTTAAAGAAAGTTGAATTATTGTATGAGTGGTGTTTAATGCAATCATGCAATGTGAACGAACACAGTTTTCCAACGGGAATTAACTTCAAACTCGAATTTGTGAAATAATCAGCACTTCCGCTCATTTTACTGCATTCCAATACGTCTTGTGTAACCTATCATGATACACAATTTATTGTTTTGTAGTGATGCAATAGTGGAATGTCCGTTTGTGTACCTCGTTGCCATGAAAATCAGATGGTGGTTCTATTAAAATAATAATAAATTCCTCATATGATGACATAAATCACTTAAATTAGTAGTTTGAAATTAAGTTTATCTGAAGTTTTATCTACACTCATTGATTAAAAAATACATCAAATAACAGCTGTTCCTGATGTATTATTAGCGTAGAATCGCAGTGTATGGTATAAATAACAGCACATGCTGCTAAGATATTGAAGTTATCTACTACTACTCTTGAAGAACTACTACAGCAAGATAGGTTTTGCCAATTAATTCCCGAACCAAGTAGATGTATGTATATTTTCGTAATATATATGTTTTTCGACATTAATAAGAATTGTTTGTATTTGCTCCAGTTAAATTTGTTTTAATCTTTTGGAAAAAATGAAATCTACATATCTGACCCTCGGAAAGCTTCCATTTAAATCGTCGGTGTATGTTCGTGTTGGGAGTTTAAGCTTATTTTAAATACAACCTGATGTGAAACCTGGCAAGACTATGACGTC